TATCTCACCCAATGGGATTTGGTCCAAAATCTTTTTCTCAATGTCTTTCCCTAGCTTAGAAGTCATGTCAGATGCAATGAACCCAGGAGCAATGGCATTTACCTGTAAATATAAGTGTTTGAGTTAGTTACATGCACATTATAATTTAAAAGGAACAGGGGCGTGTCAAATGAAGCCAAAAATAAATAAATAAATAAAATTGAGAACCCACTGTTATCTTCCTGCTTGCATATTCCTTTGCCACAGTTTTAGTAAGTCCAATTACACCTGCTTTTGCAGCACTGTAGTTAGCTTGCCCAGGATTGCCAACAAGGCCTACAACCGACGCTATATTGATTATTCTTCCCTGAAAAAAACCACAAGACCAAATATCTTTTCAATGTAACTAAGAGCAGTTCCAGCTCATTTACTTATTTCACCCACCGAGTTAACACCAAAACCAAACTCAATCAGCCAGATAGCAAAGACAAAAATGGAGATGGAAACTTTTAATATGAATACCTTTTTCTTCTTCATCATTATTTTGGCAGCTGCCTGCAAAAAGTTCAAATCTTATATCCTGAAAACCATGTTCAATTATCCTAGGGTGAACTAAGTATATGGTTAGTCATGTATATAACTTACTTGTGTACAGAGAAAAACACCAGTGAGATTCAAATCAATAACTTCCTGCCATTGAGACTTAGTCATCCTCATCAGCAAACCATCCCGAGTAATGCCTGAATTCAAGGAAGCTGTTTTAGGTTTAGCCAAAAAGTTTTTTAGCACTCATACACTAAGAAACTGTCATGGTGATGTCAATGATGACCTGCATTATTGATCAATATATCTACAGTTCCCCATGCATCAACTGCCTGCACAATAAACTCAAATTAGAGCACCTGCACAGGAGACGCACAATAAGTTCAAAGATTATTTTATTTGCTTACAGTTTTCATCATTGATTCGACATCGGCCTCTTTGGAGACATCTCCACCAAAAGCAAGAGCCTGTGCCCCACCTGCCTGGATCTGCAAATATAGCATAGTTAAAATCAAAATCCCTGGGTAAATAATGACACTGTTTTCTTCCAAGAAGTTTAAGAAAGCTCAGGAGTTACGAAATGGAGAGATTTAAATGTATTTTATAAGGTGCAAAAGTGCCAGACTGCAACTGGCTTCAGGATTTGCTTCTACATCGTTTGCTATCATGCTTCAGAGCACATAGAGTTTCTGACTTCCCTTTGTCCGGAGTTTGTTGCAAATATCAAGCAAACATAACCGACATTTAATCTCAAATCACTAGGCTCCTCCACATGAATGAAGATATAATATTATAATCACAAAAGTCATCTACAACAACATTCAGCTTCCACTTGTTTTCTCCACGCACCATGTGCTGTGGAAGCCTCCACGCCCAAATATATTTTTACCCCTTCAATTGTAATATCCAATCTATCTAAATTCCTTTTTGGTTCTCCAGCATTCAAACAATTCACTCTATATATTGGAGAACTTCTCTACGAAAATGTGCCCAAGCCAACATAGCCAGCTCTTTCTTACCTTATCTTCAATGGCAATTAGCTAGTGACACCCAACTTTGTGTAGATCTCTACATATGTTTGTGGCAGAGGAGACATTCTAATCCTCTATTAAACATTCTAAATTTTATCGGATGGCCCAATCCTTTATATTGTTACTAGGTACTAGGCGTACTACACTAACCTTCTTTATTAGATCCTCCAAAATGCTTAACATTATAATGCATATAATAATGTCGGTCTTTCCATTTAGTGTCTTGGAGCACAATAGAATCATGTAGTAGATAGTTCTCGGGTCATTCGTCTCCATTTTAACAAATGTGCACTGATCATGTGTGTCAAATCTTTAATCAATGATTTCATTCTTTTGTATAACATTGTTCAAATGCTTTAAATAATCCCTTAGTAATAACTCTAATTTCATCACTGCCATTTGCCACATTATTCAAAAAAAATTCAATAAAGTGTGAAATGTAGCTTCCTCATTATTTTATTTCTCTGATCTTAAGGTATTTCTCAATGAAATGTAATAACTGACATATGGTGTGAAATGATCATGTATAAAACTTGTTTCTTAGTAGTTAGCAATATGTGCAATGTAAGTTAACAATGAAGGGAAAATAGAATAGTTCAATCAGAATATAAGTATATAACTACTTCCAAATGTCATAGACATGTTATTAACAATTTTAATTTAATGGTTCTCTTAATACTAGTATTTTCATTTAGTAGCAGCTATTTACCAAGTACATAGTACCTTTTTGCAAACTTCTTCAGCTTCCTTTGAGGACCTTGCATAATTAACCAAAACCTACAACGAAGTTGCACATGATGATCATTCTTACTACAAAAACACAAAAATAAGACCAACCAAGTTGGACCCAACGAAAGTGGGTCTAGGGAGGGCGTGTGTACACAGATCTTGCCCCTACCCAAAAGTAGAGAGGTTGTTTCAGAGATATTCCGGCTCGCTACAGAAAACAAATTCCTAGGAACAAGCATAAGTGGACTAACACTACAAGAGCATCCCAAAATTTAAGTGTTAATTTATAAGAGGATGATTCCAAGACCTGAAGAATGAAAATACCTTACATCCCGCTTTCCCTAAGGCCAATGAAATAGCTCTTCCAATCCCTCTAGAAGCTCCTGTGACAACAACTACAGGAGCTTCTACTTTCGGTATAACTTCAGCAGCAGCTTGTTCCACTGCAGCAACCTGAACTTTTACATCTACATAAACCACAATAAGCACGAGGAAATATTAAAATAACCACCAAAGTTAAGAAAGTTCTTCAGGGAATATCCGTACATAGGAAATTTGAAGCATTTTTCTGGAAAATGTTTTCCTTTCACAAAAGGTAGCTAATAAGTTATAAAACTTCATTTTATGTCCAAAATGCTCTATATTTACACTTAGATCATTTACTTAACCAACTCGATCAATATGAAATCGAGAGTAGTATTAATACATACATCCCTTTTGCATGTGCACTATATATCACAGGATTGAAAATTTTACCATGACGAGGAAACGAGCTCTCGGATCCGCATTTCGCATACCCACATTGCAGCTTAAGAGCCGACGAAGGTTGCCGCAACGGAATGAATATCTGGCGGCGGCCTGGGAGTGAAGATCTGCCGGAAATTCTAATGCCTGTGAAGGAAACGGCAGATCCTGCGGCGATGGAAGACATTCCTCGTTTAGAAAACAAAGAAATGTCGATGAGAAATCCGAATGGCTCTGTAGGAATCGGCAGATCCCGGGGCGGGGGAGTGAATAACGGAAACTTTTCGATGAGAACAGAGAAGTTAGGATGATGCTTACGTTTTAAACAGAGCAGGCGATTCATTCGAGGTTTGTTTTTGGTTCGTGGTGTGCGACTTTGGGTGTGGTGAGTTGTTGACCTCAACAACTATTTTGGGTTGAGCAATGCCAGGTACACCTCACACCATTCCCTTCTCCATCACCCATTTTTATTTTATTTTTATTTATTTATTTTTTTTTTGAATTTCTTGCCTTTTTTGTGGACAAGTAAGAGTGGGGGACAAATGGGGTACCCATTTGGTGTACCCCTAACATTTTTCTTTTGGGTTTTGTTATACGAACCAAACTTTTGAGGTCTGTTATTCTCTTATCAGATTAACTCATTTAATAAGGTTTGATGACTTTTAGAAACGATGACTAGCCATCCAATTTCTATACAACATTGCATGCACTGCTCAAGTTAAAAAAGGCTACAACAAAGGAGACCGAACAAAGCATATATCGCCAAAGTTCTTCTCAACACATGATCTCGAGAAAAATGGAAAGGTTGAAATAAAGCAAATCCAGTCCAGTGAGAACCCTGCTGATTTATTTACAAAAGCGTTGCCCCCAAAGAAATTCGAAGAACTTGTACACAAGATTGACATGGGTCGCCTCTGTCAAATATGCTAGGCTGAAGGGGGGGGGGAATTTTATGCACTGTACTCTTTTTCTCTTGATTAAGTTTTTATCCCTCTAGATTTTCATGACAAGGTTTTAACGAGGCAGTATATAAAATTAAAATGACTCCCAAAGCTACGCTCATATCACGAAATACCCATCATTAATTCAAAAATGAACATTCAAGTGGGTGTTAAGAAATATATGAATTGTTCATTTATCAATTAATTAGGCCATGCTCCATCATAGTTGTAGGAACAAATCGTTTATCATCATCATCAAGTTGTCATTTGTATAGTATGTATACTCTTTGTAATAGTGATCCCACTAAGCCTCTCCACTATAAATAGGAGGCTTAGAATCCCTACAAAGGCATCATCAACAATAAGAAGAAGAGTGAAGAATTCATAGAAAAAAATAGAAATATATCATATCATATCTACATAATCTCTTAATAGTTTTTCTTCCATTTTATGACAAAGAACTCTTTATCATAATACAGGGTAATAAAATTAATATGGAGTACCAAAGACCATGTCGTCAGTAACATCACTATGACTCTTCCATTGGGCCGTTGGCTCTTCAGTCGCTAATAGATTGAGAAATTATATATATGAACAGATGCAAATTGTAGTAACTAGTTAATAGTGCTAAAAAATACAATAATAAAATTAATGAGTAATCCATATGAATTTTGCACGAGCATGCCTTCCAGACCAATAAATACATAACAGATGTAAGCTCCTTTTAATGTATGATCCCAATTCATAATCTCTGAATAATTTTTCTTCCATTTTATAACAAAGAACTTTTTATTATAATACGGGGTAATAAAATTAATATGGAGTACCAAAGACTATGTCGTCAGTAACATCACTATGACTCTTCCATTGGGCCGTTGGCTCTTCATTCTTTAATAAATTGAGAAATTATATATATGAACAGATGCAAATTGTAGTAACTAGTTAATATTGCTAAAAAACACAGTAATAAAATTAATGATTAATCCATATGAATTTTGTACGAGCATGTCTTCCAGACCAATAAATACATAACAGATGTAAGCTCGTTTTAATGTATGATCTCGGTTCAATAAGTTCTGATTTGATACGAATATAGTTATATTTAAAGCCGTTTCTGATATGATCTAAATCTAATAAGAAAAAGTAATAAGTAATATAAAAAGCTCTTAAACAAGTGATTCACATGCACCATGAAATTGGATTATTAAATGCCATGGCCAAAGTGAGATAAAAAGCACACTGCCCGAAAGCAGCTTCTCTGCCACTTGGGGTATTATTGTCTTTTAGATAGAAATGGCAGCTTCATCACCAGAAGTGTCACTGTCACTAGAGCTACTGCCACTGTCACTCCCACTACTGCTGCTGCTGCTGTCGCTGCTCCCACTGCTATCGCTCCCGCTACTACTGCTGGAGCTTGAAGTGTGGTGCTCGTCCCCCCCTCCTCCATTCGCTTGTCCTCCAAGCGCTTCTCCCGCGTTAAGGCCATTCTCCTCTTCGTCACTTCCAACCACATCGGCAAATTCTTCCCCATCCGTTTCGTTTTGGTGTGGTTTGTTGATGTCGATTTCGTTCACCGCGATATCCCCTCCTCCTCCTCCATTGGCTGCTGCATCACCCTCCACTTCATCGTCGTTCATTATATCCAGCTGTTCGTCCAAGTCATCACTCTTTGCATCGGGTGACGAGTTTGGGTGGCTAAAATGTGAAGATGGATAACCGGGTGACATGTTTGGCGGGTTGGCATGGGAAGATGGATAACCGGGTGACATGGTTGGCGGGTCGGCATGCGAAGATGGATAACCCGGTGCCATGTTTAGCTGGTCGGCATGTGAAGATGGATAACCAGGCGGCATGTTTGCCTGGTTGGCATGTGAAGATGGATAACCGGGTGACGCGTTTGGATGGCTGGCATGTGAATATGAATAACCAGGTGGCATGTCTGCTTGGTTGGCATTTGAATATGAATAACCAGGTGGCATGTCTGCTGGGTTGGCATGTGAATATGAATAACCAGGTGGCATGTCTGCTTGGTTGGCATGTGAAGATGGATAATCAGATAACATGTTTGGTTGGTATGCGTGTGAGGGATAATCAGCAGTTGTATCATTCTTAAGTCTCATGTCTATATATTAGCGAAGTAAATATTAGTAGCCGGAAAAATAATCATCATTACTCATATGAATCTATAATAATGATCATTACTCATATGTATCTATGATAGCATTCCTTTTTTTAGTAAAGCGTGCTCTAAAACTTCAAATATATTACTCCTTCCGTCCCAAAATTTGGCACAAAGTTTAAGAAAAGTAAAATTATAGGGTTGAAAGTGTGATGCAGAGGAGAGAATTGTTCTGAGCCACAAAAAGTTTTCTAATGCAGAAAAGATGAGCCTTTATTGGGACATCCTGGAAAGAAAATCAGGAGTCCTTTTTTGGGACATAGGAGTACTAACATTCAATTCTTTAGGTTAATATGAAAATCTCTTTTGAAATCTCTTGATATCAATATAGCAATCCCCCCCTCTCAAAATAAACTTCACACTTGCAATTTTTGGTTGTCTCAAAATAAACTTCACACTACTCTTTTTTCCTATTTAGAAATTATGTATACGGCTAACTATCTTTCTCTCTCTTCAAATTAAAATTCATATTTTTATCTTTCAATGCTATTATTAAACTCTATAATGTCAAACAAAAAAGTTTATTTTGGGAGGGGCGAAGTACTATAGAAGTTATACGTCATATATTTTGATAGGTGAATATATTATTAATTTATAGATTTATTAATAATGCGCTAAATGAATAGAATTTTCCAGTCCTAAGGCTAGTAATTTATAGGGGTTATATTGGTATATAACAATTCATACCTGAGCCTTGGATGTCACCAACTTCAATTAGCTCAACCTCAAACTGTGTGAACAAAAAGACAAGAGTTTAAGTAGAAGTGGAAGTGCCATGAGGCCATTTAACTAACATAATTCAATGACATAGGAAATATTATATCCTTATGTTGACTATCTTGCAAATTTGATCCTGAAACCATGACCATAAATGAGTGGTGAAATATAAGTACAAACCTCAATTAAATCCAAATTCCTCATAATATTATTTATATATATCTAAGTAGAAGTGATAATTATTAAACACTTGAGAAGCATAAAATAATAAGCATAAGCGAAAGAGAGCAGAATTATTCATACTTCATTCATCAAGTAAATAGGCAAAGTGTCGGATGCCCATAAAAAATGGGATGCATTGAAATATAAGCATAACAATGCATTCCCAACTTATCAGGGTATAATAGGATAAGGAGATAATCATATGCTTCAAATTTTAAAGAAAGATTTCATTTTATATCAGCCATAATTCTATATGTAAATATTTTAAGAAAAAAATCATTTGATGCACTGAAGAGCAACTGATTGGGTTCCCTTCATGCTATGGTATACAAGAGCCACAAATGATCCAGAAACCAACTCGTATTGAGGTTAAGGTCATTTCCAATGAAAACTAGGTGATAGAGGGTCTATTCGGGAGCAATTTTTGGGATTAGAATTAGAGTTTCGGATAGTTTTCTAAAGGTGCACATTAATTTTAAAAACACTAAAGCTAAACTAAACATCTTTCCCAAAATGCTAAAGCTAATGGTACAAGGACTCAGAATAAATAGTCTATCTATTGCAGGTCAATGACACCTTCAAACCTCAGTTTGTCTTTTCCATACAGAAAAAATTGCATGCATCTCGAGGCTTACATTTTGATGCATTGCTCTAAGATAAGTGACCATCTCAATTTTCTATTCTCACAACACATATTGGCATTGCATAGTAATTATATCACCAAAATGATTCATGATTAACGTAGAAACATCTCTACAAAGCAGAACTTACTGGTGGTGCACGGACAGTATTACTATGAGACTGGAATGCAGGTACTTTTACTGGCGGAGAACTTGTCTCAGCAGCTACACTCACAGAAGCAGGAGCAGATCCAGTTGCAGATTCCCCACGGAGCCGAACATGTTTCAATCGCTTGACTGCCCGGTGCAGTCGCTCCAACCGGAATGATTCACCATCAAAGAATAAAACAGCATCATTTTCTTTGTAGTCCTCACTGCTCCCCTCAAAGCAAACCTTGGGCTTACCGGGCTGACTGTTCTGAAATTCAACTGTAACCCTATTGTCCTTGGTTTTGTGCAATTTACCCGGCAGACTTTTGTTGATTGAAGCTGGTTTAAACTCATCTGAAAAGTTATGAATTTATGAAAATTTTAAGAATCTAAAATAGAAATGTACGCCTTAATGATTCATATATTCAATATTAACTACACAATTGCACTTTATCCTAAATTTGAGTAGCACTCTCCTATGTCCCCAAAATAATGGGAGGGTGGAAGTAATATGAAGCAAGGGAAAAAACAGACTCATTATTCGAATGGTAGACTATATATATTATGAAAAAGGTAAGGGCACAAGTAGTCAAGCACACACATATATATTCATGCACAGGGGTGACAGAGAAACTTACATCGTAATGTACAGAACTTGGAGGATGGGTGCTGTTCTTTGAATGAAGAGCCAAGCTTTAAGTTGTACCACTGATCATGTTTTGGAGCAGTGTTTGGTTCATCTTTGTTGTTGATGTTCATCATATTCAAAGTGAAAAAAGCTATGGCTTCACTGCTTGGTAATTGAAATTTATCCAGCAATAGATATGTACTTTGGAACTCGAAAACGCCCTGGTTTTAGGTGATAAACAAGAGAAAGGTCCTGACACTTTTTTTCTTTATATCCAGCCAACTAAAAGGTGAAAAAATCTGCAACATAATGTAGAATAAACATTTCAATTAAACACCTGTACATATTCCATTTGTCAAAGTAGCACTAAACAATCATCACAATCACAAGGGCAATGACCACCTAAAGACCTTGTTTGGAGCCACATGTTACCATGTAGACAATTTTGATGGCAAAGATGGCCTATTTTAACTTCAGATCCAAACAATGGTCTATTTTAATTTTGGTGCCTCAAAATAATCCCAAACATTTTGAGGACTTCAGTGCCTGGTCCACCTGAATTCGCTCACAAAACCGGTTTTTGATAGGCCAAACTGATGAAATCCTAGTTCTCGGAATATGTGACACACGAAGTGGATTGTTAAAAGGGAGAGGAATTTTACTATTATGCCTTCTAACTATTGTAACTAAAGTGTATAAGAAAAACAAAAGGTCCAGTGAGAGAGATAAAAGATTTGTTAGTTATAATACTCCCTCTGTCCTTTCTAGTTCAAGATTTGACTCGACGGGATTATCTAGGCAAATTATAAATTTCATTGACTTTCCCATAGTGCCCTTTGTATTGCTAAAAGAAAAACCACGCTTCAGAATTCCCAACCCTCTTCACATCACTAAAACAGAATGAATCCAACACAAAATTAAAAAGTCAATCGCAACTGACTTTAAACCAGTACAAAAATTGTCTCCGTAATGATTTTAAACCTCCTTCCTTAAGACCATGAAATACTTTAAAAAAATAAGAGCTGCCCGCATAACCAGAGTTGAAATGCAAACAAAGATGAGAGCAAATTCCACCACTTTTCTCTTTTTCTTATTTTCCACTACCCACTTTAATCAATTCACCGTTACACATCATTTCTCCACCCCATCCTTCCATCCATTAAAGTTGATCTAATGTGTGCACATATTTTCAACAAGACTGACAGGTTAAAGTTTAAACTTTGAAGTTAAAAACCCTATGAGTCCAACAGCCACTAAACACAAATATAAAACAAATACAACGTAAGAAGGTGCTAGAAACAACCAGCACTTACATCAAGTTTGAATACATAAACCAAATACCAAAAGATAAAACCCCAAAAGAGTTCCAAAGAAACAGATGGATGGAGTTCAAATTTAACATTTCTCATGACACACCACCAAACTTTTCACTATAAGCATTATCCTGCAAACTCTTCAAAACTAGTTAAATCAAAGAACCATAAAATTGATTAAGAGAGGAAAAATTGAGAGATTAGTCTCAGTTATGTATGGTGCACAACCATATCTGTCTAGTAAAACGTGTACCTTCTAAAACTTTGAACGAGCTTGCTGGTTGAATTTATCTTTTACTTGCTTGGAAGATTCTGTAGCAAAAACACCAGAAGACAAACATCATATTCAGCTATATGCATCAAAAGCAAAATGGAGTGTGCAATTTAGACTTTAAATAAAAAAAATAGGTTATATTATGGAAATATGAGTACAATTTCCAAACTACATGTTACTAGCCATAGATTGCTTCTTCACGATAGCAACTTTGACTTATGGTGATTTGAATACGACTTTCACATTACTTAGATCCCCTTCTTTCATTACTTTAGGCAATGTAAATTTCGGTGGAGGAGTTGGGTTTGGCAAGGACACCTATAGGGCCACTTTCAAGTTCAAACAGCTTTCCCCTCTGAAAAATTTGATCGATGATTCTCCACTTGTACTTGCAACTATATCTAAATCCTCATCTTCTTCATCTTCACAATCATCATCACAAATTCTTTTTATGAACTTCTCTAGCTCACATTTGAATAATGAATCAAGGTTTGACTAAGATCAAATAATGAATTGAGGATTTAATAAGAGCTTCCTCTTCTTCCATCATTTTCCCTTTCCTTTTCCTTATTAGAGTCCCTTGAACATTGTATCACACCTGCAGGTACTACATTTAACGCTCAATGGGAGCATTATCTAGGACTTCATCTGCTGATTCTTTGGTTCTTCAAAAATCAAAACCATTCTCTCCTTTGATTGAAGTTTGGAATTTGTAGCTTCGAAACCTCGCTAAATCAAAAATAAAAAAAATAGCATAAACTGAAATTCAAAGAAATACCTAAGGCCTGAGGGAGTGCTGTCGCGGTGCTGTCTTCTGGACCGCTGGACCTGCGACTGCGAAACCGGAGTCGAACCTGCGACGCTGCGATCTAAGGCGAACGGAGGGGCGGAGCATATGATTGCAAACCTGGGAGTGTGCTATCTGCGTCTGATTTTGGATTCCGGACTTGGGAGAACAGCAGGTCTGAACATCGAGAGGATGGCCTGATTGATGTTTGGTTTTGAATGTTAGGTTTTCACCCAAAACTACCAAAACTAAAGAGGGAAGGGGTTAATTTAGAAAATAGTTTTTTGGCTTTGGGAGGTAGACTTAGGCCATTTCATCCTTAATCTATTTTTTTACTTATTATTTATTTTTATTGTAATAATTAGATAAAATCAGAAATAATTTTTAAATATTATTTCATTCAAATATTATTTTGTACTCCCTCCGTCTTAAAATTAACTTCTCATTTGACTTTTCACGGTCTCCAATGCGACACTTTGACCATCAATATCTCAATTTTTATATAAATATATTTTATAAAAATTATATATTTCAAAACAATGTTTCAAAATGAATCTATTGCTAATAAATTTATGTGAAAATTCAATGTATTTTTCCGTAATATACGGTCAAAGTTTAAAAAGTTTGACTACAAAATCAAATTGAGATGTTAATTTTAGGACTGAGGAGTACAAAATGTTATCCCTTTTGGCTTTCTGGATCTCTTTACATCATTACAGTTCACTAAGCTTGAACCAGTTATTCTCGTCTTCTTCTCCAACACAGGTCCAATATTATTCTAGGGCTCATTAATTGTTTCGGCATTCCTAGCCCCCCTACACGCCCCCGCCCATCATCGTCCTCTTCTCTCGCGCCGCATAATGTCTGTGATGATAGTGACGAGCTTGGGAGATTTAGTAATCGATTTGTTCACGGATCGCTGTCCTCTGACGTGCAAGAACTTTCTGAAGCTGTGCAAGTACGCCTCCTCTCTATGCTTTATATTTTCTGTGGTCTATTCTAGCATTTTAACGCAGCTTATATGACATTTCTTGCTGCACACTTCCGGATTTGTCCTAAAAAGTACATCAAAAAGTTCTATAAAACTTGTGCATATATGTAAAGAATTGCACTCAGATGTTTTTCGCCCAATGTGTTCTTAAGCTTCCTTGTTTGAATTAGTGTTTTTTCCCCAATGAATTTTGACCAACAATGTGAATTTTGTTTTTGGATTTCCTGATTTTTTGTTAATTTGCTGGATTTACTCCTTGCCAAAAGAAATTAGTCTGAGTAATGTTGTACACACTTTGCTTTATGAAAATGCCCCTCTTTGGGAAAATATAGCTAAGATACTCTGTAGTTAACTAGTATGCTTTGTTCAGTCATCAGTGTTTAATCACATCCCTACAATTTTAGGATCAAGTATTATAATGGTTGTCTGTTTCACACGGTTCAAAAGGATTTCAGCGCACAGACGGGTGATCCTACTGGAACAGGTTCGGGCGGAGATTCAGTGTACAAGTAGGTTGGAAACTTATTATTACAGCTCATAAGCTTCATACCACATTCAAGCATCACCTTCTATTTTCGCTTTAGTGTCTTTTTCTTTATTTTGTAGATACAGATTATTATTATTATGTTTTTAACATAGAATTTTCCTGTGTGTGTTTCTATTTCCATACTTGATATTCATTCTTACACTGTGGTTCCAGATTTTTGTATGGTGAACAAGCTCGATTCTTTGGTGATGAAATTCATTTGGACTTAAAGCATTCCAAGAAGGGAATGGTTGCCATGGCTAGTGCTGGGGAGAATCTTAATGCTTCCCAGGTACTGCTGCATAAACTGTAGTCTTTGCCTTTTTATTTAAATTGTTCTAAGTTCAACCTTTCAAGCTAGTAATGACTATGGGAGGGTTTTGACCAGTTTGGTACCAATTTTTTAAACCACGTGTCTGAGTGATGCCAACCCTCTCTCAAGCTTGTATCATATAAATACCAATCCCTTGCTTGTTTTTCATTGATACCAATTTTTGATGGGAATATATTATCCTATTTCACCCATCCATGTTAGCTGACAGCATTCAATGTCACCAAATGGCAAAATAAAAAGAATAAAAGTATAAACTAGAATTCAATGTCAGGAAATGGCAACAGCTCAGTTTGGTACAAGTTGATACCTTCTCATGAATGAATGGTTGATTGGTAGCAATTGAAGGTTTAGCATAAACTAGATTCAAATGCAGGAGAGGTTAGTACCAATCAAAAATATATATAAGGTCTGCTATCAATTGGACAGATGGTCCAAAGAATTTGATAATAGGTCAACAATTGGAGGATTAAAGAACTGGACAAGAAACTAGTATTCCCCTGCACGGCTGCACCACTCACAATAGAAATCTCATTGAGAGGGGAAATATAAGCCAAGAGTTATCTCCAGTATACTGAAAACATAGTGATTCAATGATACTACTGACCGCCATATGCTATGGATGACTTGGGGTTAGTCAATGCTCCTAGTTTGATTGTTGAAGATGTCAATTACTTATGGAGAAGTTGGGTTAGTTACTCAGTTGTGGATTTGAGGGGTACCGATCTTGGTATTTTTTTAGAACAACTTTTCAAATTCAAGGGCTATCCTAGCAACTTCATACACTTTTTAGGCTTGTGGATTTACGCCAGACTTAAGTTCTTCCTTGGTTCCGTCCAAAAAGAAAACAAGAAGTCAATGTTCTGGTCATTGTTCAATTGGATAGCTCGTACTGTGAATTCTTGCCGGTACTCTTACACTGGCCACTGGCATTAGTTTCTCAATGCTACTCTACAGAGGTATTCACCTGCATTTTGATATTCAGGTGGACCGTAATGCTCTTGCAGTATCTTCTCCAATTCCTCCCTATAAAGCATTGTTTATTGTGCGCTCATCCGCGAGAACAAATTCACTGGGCCACCCAAAGAGCGCATGGGTGGTGTTGTAATGCCTTGAATCTGATCCGTTACAGCTCCAGATCCGGAGAAGTCCAACTTCTGAGAAATCCGGATCCGGAGAAGTCTGGCTTCTGAGAAATCCGAATTCCGGAGAAGTCGAGAAATCCGAATTCCGAGAAATCCGAATCTTGAGAGATCCGAACCCTACTCTAATTGGGCTTTCTAATTATCTGTTAATTCTGTAGTTTGGGGCCCAAGTCTGTTAGGGTTTAGCTAAGCACTATATATATGGGTGCTACCACAAACCCTATGTGTGGTATTCTGTATTCTGTTTTTGCCTCTCCAATCCAAAATAAAACTGCTCCCCCTCTTCCCGTGGACTAGCCAACACAACGTTGGTGAACCACGTTAAATCTGTTGTCGTGTGTTTTCTCGTTTATATTTGTTATTCTCGAATTCCGCATAACAAACTGGTATCAGAGCCTGGTTAGTTAATCTGTGTTCTTGGAAAATTTCGAGATGTCTGCCTTGAACGTGAAAATCGACAAATTCACTGGCAGATCAAGATGCGGGCTTTGTTGAAACAACAAGGCTTCTGGGCGCCGTTGTCGAAAGACAAAAACGCCGTCGCTACTCCTGAGATGGCGACTCTGGAAGAGAAGGCGCACTCGACGATCATGTTGTGTCTGTCAGATGACGTTATCACGGAAGTCTCAGACGAGGAGACTGCTGCTGGCTTGTGGTTGAAGTTGGAGAGTCTGTATATGACGAAATCTTTGACCAACAAGCTACTTCTCAAACAACGTCTATTTGGTTTACGAATGGCTGAAGGTACACCACTCAGGGACCCTCCCCCACAAACTGCCCAAAGCATCCCCGGACCCTCCCCCACTTCCAATGACCAAGACACCTCCAAACACCACCCATCAACCCATCAGCATATTACCCAAGAAACCCTTAAACATGTTCCTCTCCAAGAACCTACCAAAACTGCATCCTCCACTCCACTTTCTACTATCCAAGAGCTACCTACAATCAAGCCTACGAGCCCTTGTTGTTACCCTTCTCTAAAGGTTGGAAACTATGCTATCATGTGTCCAAATAAGAGAAAGGTGATCTTCACTCAAGATGTAGAGGAACAAGGAGCATTGGAGCAAACACAGGTTCATGACGGTAAGAAATCAGAAGCTGTGGAGCAAAAAAATATCATGAATGAACCGTTGAGGTTCTTAGAAGAAGAAGAAGACCTATGGGAGAGGTGAAGAAGAAGAAGAAGAAGAAGAAGAAGAAGAAGAAGAAGAAGGTTAGGCCCATGAATGTGTGCCCTATTCTTCTAGGCAGACCATTGTTGATAGATTGGAGAGTGCACCAAAGGGCCAGAGAAATGATACTTATTCCATCCAATGATACACAATCCGGCCAGAAGTAGCCGTGGAGCCTTGTTATCACTAACGGCTCGTGGTGCCTATTTTGCTTTGTTTAAGTTGCAGGAAATTCATGAAGGAATACAAGGAACAAAGAACACTTATCCTAAGTGCTCCAAGCTGCATTCACAGGTCCCCTTTTCCCAAGCACCAAGACATAGCTTCATTGAAGATGAGGATGTAAGCAAGTTCCATTCCAGCCCCTATGAAGAGCCTAAAGAACACTTGAGTTTGAGGGCAAACTCTTTCGAACAAGGGGAGGATGATATATATCCGGGAGCAGGCCCGAAGACCGTCCGTAGCCCGCCAGGGGAAAGACGGATCAGGGGAATAAAGCCCAAGTGTGGTGACATTAATTGGGTTGAAACTTCTCCATTTTCCTGTCTTAGAACCCAACCCAACACAATGGTTGTCCTACACCCACCCTAGGCTGAGCCCACACTCCTCATACCTTCCCTAAACATCCAAAATATTTCCTTTTCAAAATAAAGTTTTTCCTACTCTTATTTTAGCCATGGCCGAAAATAAG